TTAATCAGAAGTTCAAAACACGTCATAGATTTACGCTTATGAACCTCTAACAAAACAGCAATCGATTGTTTAGTTGTTCCAATATGAACAGAACCCAACAAAAATTATCCGCGAGCGGAGCAAATCCAAGCATATGAGAGCAAGTTTTTTCAAAAAAATGCCTCATGTTACAACAGTTCCACTTGAACAATGTAAAACGGTTAATTCTGAGTGGAATGCAACTACTTGTTTGCCGAAAGTCTTCGAACAATTGAAGAAATCCAACCGTCGCAGGAAATCATCCTCCAGAAGCTGTCACACATCAGCTCAAATAAAAGAGTTTTTGAGCAGTCAGAACTTTGAATTGATGGATCATCCGCCTTGCAGTCTCAGCTTGGCACCCAGTGACTTTTTCTTGTTCCCAAACTTTAAGATAGAAATACGTGACAAGCCTTTTTCTACACCCGAACATTGAGACATTCAAAATGCTGGTTTTGCAGATACTAACTTCAGAGTGGCAAAACTCTTTCAAAAATAGTTCAGTCGAATGCAAAAATGTGTTGATCATCATAGAGAATATTTTGAAAAACAATAATACCATTAAAAGGTCTAAACAGCAGCCTTCGTACCAATGAAGCATAGTAACTTATATGTCTTTACCAGCATCTCACTTAGGAACTAGATTTCTTGGGAGCTTAAGTGTATTTAGAAAGATCCATTAACTCACAAATTTAAAAACAGTGGATTATATTAAAGGTAAAATTCAATTACTAAAACTTATACCAATACCACAGCATATGTTCAACATGGAAGTTCTTCTATTCAGTTTACTTCAGTTCACAGTTGACAGATTTATCAGAAAAGGCGTATAGGGTGTCATTATACATGGGAGCAGTTTACAAACACAATAGCCTCATTGAAGGATCAACCAGATTCCACTTAAAATGTCTGAATCTACATTTATCTATTCTTCGACTAGAATTGTGTGGAGCATTATTAGACACCGAACTAGCAACAAAATTTAAACGTCATTTGAAATATTATAGCAAGGCTTGTCCTGTCAGGATCACGACTAGATGTTCTTTAGCGTATGATAGACAGTTACGTATAAAATATGAAAACTAATTTGAATAATATTTCCATAATAATGAGGATAATTCAGATAGACGGAAGGTTGAAAACATTTTTATTAGGTTATGACACAAAAAATCCGATGACATTAACATACAATAGTCCATTAGTTAACATAGCTATTAATGCAGAATATCCTCAAATAAAAACTGTATTATAAACCACAAACTTTACTAACGCAAGTAGGATAAACTTTTTGGCCCGTGAGGAAACAGAATTGGTAGTACAGCGTACTGTCTGATGTCAAAAAGCAAAGCCATTATTTTGGAAACAAGTCACAGTAAACTTTCCAAGTTTGTCAATAGAACATGTATGAAAGCGTGCTGCGAAGGCGTCTTATATATATGTGTGCCTATCATATGTATTCCTAACATATTAAGAACTTAAAAGAGAAGATGTATCTTTAACTCAACTTTAATCGGAATTGCATACAAATTGAAAATTGATATCTCATTTGAAACGTTAATTCTGGAACTTATACTTTATCGAATTGCAGCAAAGAAATACGACGACCCAGAAAATCAAGTGATCATAACTAAAATAATGATAATGAACTTTGTTGTTTATTAGAATGTGTTATGAGAACATATCATCTAAAGGATGTATGGTAGAAGCTCTATTCACAGATTAGCTCTTCAATTGCCGTCGGACGAAACACTGTGTTATCAGAACGAAATTATAAATAAGTGATCGAAACCTGGCACGCCTACCAAAATACGAAGAATGGTAAATTGCCAATGTCATTGCCATTATGTTTAATTTACGCCTGTTCAAATCAAGTTA